GGTGTACTCAGTGGTCTTTACTGCCTATCACGGTATCAAGAGGTGAGAGGTAAATGGGGTAGTAGAAGCTACCTGGTATTTTTCCCTTCACATAGTATATTTTATATATGTATATAAAAACCTGCATATATGAAAATAGGTACATATGTGTATATAAATAAAAATGAGATGGATTGACACAGTGGCTGCAAGTTTTGCAATAATGAAGAGAGTTCAAGACCAGGCAGTGTTTTGTTATGTTGTACATAGGGTCTCTGTGAGTCAGAACCAACCAAGCATCACCTAACAACCCTAACATACAAACTATGTGAAGGAAGAGATTGCTAGTAAATCATACTGTGCCTTTTGCACATCACCTATTCACACCCTGGTAGGTAGGAAAGCTTAATGAGTACCTTTACCTGTGTGGTATGCATATATTTATTCCTATGTAAACAAATCATTCTGATAGGGGTATGATTCTGTGTAACATGTGTGACTATAATTCTGTAAAGGAGGTCAACCTTGAGTGAGGGACAGCTTTAGGAATATGGTGGGAATTGGAACTAGGCCCTAAAATACCAAGAGGAGAATTGGAAAAGAAAAAAGGGTAACCTGGTTTTTCTCCATTTCAGGCTGGCTAACAGTTGGACCAACTCTTACAAATAGTAACTACAATGCGGAGACTTATGCATCCTATTTCAGCGCTCCAAATTCCTACTTGACTGGATGTACAGAAGAGATCGAGAGACTTCGACCCAAATCCCCACCCCCCAAATCTAAATCTGATCGGGGAGGTGGAGCGCCCAGGGGTGGAGGAAGAGGCGGAACTTCTGCTGGCCGTGGACGGGAAAGAAATCGGTCAAACTTCCGAGGAGAAAGGGGGGGCTTTAGAGGGGGCCGTGGAGGTGCGCACAGGGGTGGCTTTCCACCACGGTAATTCCAGAAGAGCTGACCTTGTTGATGCCCCACCCCCTTCTTCCTTGCATTTTGACTTTCGATTGGAAGACTTTGGAACTCAATCCCCTAACAGCCTCTCCCCCCACCTCCAAAAAAAATAGTGCTTTGCATTTAGTTTTTCTAATCTCCTGGAATATCTTAGCCAACTTTGCTCACAATTGTCACACACACACTTACCTAGTTTTCCCCCCAGGATAAGCAGGAGTGCTGCCTCTGTCGTGTGTGTGACCGAAGAGAATGGACCATGAATGCCTTCACCTTCAGAGACTTTATTCCTACAAAGGCTGTTGCTTTTTACATTATTTTCTTCTCTCTTCCCAAACCATTGTATTAGGAGCTGACCCAGGCAGAGGGTTGGGAGGACTCGGTGCAAAGGCCCACTGTGTAGCATGTTAGTGCCGCAGAAGTTGCGAGAGATGCTTCCTGTCACTGCCTCTCCCCACGGGGCGGCTCTGGGAGCCTGGCTAGCACGGCGCAGAGACAGATGGTAAGCGTCTGCCAGGGCTACAGCATGTCCTTGATGGAACAATAAAAAGAGGAGACATCTGCTTGTCTTTTTAGTCTTAGAAATTCAGATATAATTTAATTATTCTAGTATACTAAACACCACCGAGAAATTCAAAAAGCTCATCATCATCACCTCAATTGTGTGCTAAAGATGACTCAAGCACTCTTCCCATAAAGCAAACAAAGACAAATATCCAATGTTAGGACTTTGGAATGGGCTTGAACTTGAATTGACCCTTGAAGCAGTTTCATATTACTTAGCAAAAAAGAAGTAACAGAGACACCTGGCTGTGCAGTATGTGCTTTAAACATTTGGGGAATGAAGTATTTGGTAATTGAGGAAATGACATATATCTTGAAGCTTGGTATAGGGAAAACTTAAATGTCTAGCCAATGATGGAAAACCCTCAATCGAAGCTTGGAAAATGGGACTACAGTTGTCCTGTATTGAAAGCACATGGTGTTGTTAGTTTTTAAGGGACTGGTTTTGCAGAGCTGTTTGTTGTCTAAGACTTTCTGCCATCACTTCTCTTTCCATGCTAACCCATGCATAAAATGAATTTGCTGAATGAGATATTCTTGATAGATTTTTTAATTTCGTGTGTGATTTTTCTAATAAAACGTTAAACCCTGGAAACTTAGAGTCTGTTTCCTGTAAGCTGAGTTACTGTTGTTGCAAGTGAAAGCAGAATTGACATGAAAATCAAGCTTTTCGTTTGGTCTATGATGCATTGTAGTGGCCATTCGGTGCTTCCTACTGACTCATGCTCCACCTGAGACAGGCTTGTATGACACTCACTAAAGAGCGAGTTTGGAGATAGAGATGGAGTGTTAGAAACAGGATTGGGGCCTTTAAAAATCTGATGAATTTAGCATCTTGTCCAAGTTGTTAGTACTTCCAAATACACATAGCATTTGACTAGCTTGCATATTCTGTGATAAAATATGTGTCACAGATACTTAGCTAAAATGATGCTAGATTTTCCATGTAAGTAATTGCAAGTCATCTAGAAGCAGAGCTACATTAAATAGGATAAATGTCCATGATGGGTCCTTCATTAGGAGTGTTTGCTGACAAGTCCCAAGCCCAGGACTCTGGTTTGTTCCACATCCTGGGCTTATCTGGTGTTTACTTAGCCTCGTTCCCTATGAGGTCTTCATCACAAGATCACCTTGAAAGCGGAGAGGAGCCACTGCCCTCTGTACTGAGAAAAGACTAGGCAGTGGAGAGATGCAAGGTCCTCAATATGTCCCTTCCAATCAACAGAAGGAATTGTCTGGCCCTGGCTTTGCTACCCTTAGTTTCTTTTGTGTGTATACACATTTAGTTTTATTGTAACAAAGCAACTTGTACACTTTTAACGTTTAAAACTGAGCATCTTCCCTTTCCAGTGAAACAAAAATAAATAAATAAATAAACAGGAACAAAATGACAATAGAGAATGTCAATTCCAAAGAAGACCCTACAGGTTCTGCTGATTCTCCCATCGAGTGGCAGGGCTCAAGTCATTAGGAGAGAATTTTATTTTAAAAGTGTCATCTTAAACTGCAAGGATGTCTGTTAAACATCACAGTTAAACATGCCAAAGGAGAAGCCATGTTGTCAAGATGCCCATTTAATCCACCCAAACATCTCAAACCCACCTTTTGCTGACCTTCTATAACCCCTTTTTTAAAAGTTTTTTTTTCCTTTTTTTTAAACGAGAAAGTAGAAAGATACGTGTTGGTAAATGCTAACTGTCCATATTCACATAGAGACACAGTGTAATCTCTGAGTCCAATATACAGAGAAAGGAGGAAAGAAGCTAGAATTCTATGCACTGCTACACGGGCCTAGCACCTTCCAGCTGCCAGCAGGGCCAAGGGAGCAGAGGGTTTTCTGTTTTCCCACAGAGCACAGTGGCGTGTTGATTCCATAGTATTCAGACAGGAAGGGATAAAAATTAATTTGAACACAAGGGGGTAGAGATTCTTTTCCACTGTATTCTACACCAGGCATTATACCCCCCACCCCCAAGTAAGTTGAGAACCATGGTGTAGAGAAAAGAGACCTCAAGAACAGGGCGACTGTGCATGAGAGGAAGAAACAAAAAAAGACCACTTGCTCCCAGGGACTGAAGAAAGTTGAAAAAGGTTGGAATGCATCAGTGTTCTGTTAGTCATCCTCCTTCATCCTCCTCTCCTTCCTCTCCCTCGTCATCATCTTCATCCCCTTTGTCTTCATCCCCCTCTTCATCAATATCTTCTAAACCTTCGTCGTCGTCATCATCTTCTCCTTCACCTTCCTCATCATCCATATCAGGAACCACATAGTACTGTAATGGATTTGGCCAAATGTCATCTCTGATGACCTCTCCTAACTCACCTGCGCCTGCATCAGAGTGGTGGGCAAACCAGGTAAAGAAACTCCGGTTCTTCATGCTGCCTCTTCCTGCTGGCTCTGTTCTGTGTCTGCCTGGACCGCTTCCTCAAGTCCTTTCCGGATTTCCATTTTGATTTCAGTTGATTTTGAATGGATCACCACTCTAATTCAGATGAAATTCTTTGGAGAGAACTTTATTGTCGAAGTAAGGATTTTCATCAAAATAATCTATTCTGTAACCTGATTTAATATCTTCAAATTCTGCCACTTCAACTCTGGTCAAATAGTGCAGAGTCTCTTCATCCTCTTCCCCAAGCAATGCAGACACTTGCGGATGGTTGACAAATGTTGTTACCCCAAAATTTGGGATTTTGATGATCAATTCTGACCTCTTCTGAAAGAATGGTTGGCGGAGTTTGTTATATTTCTGTTCTACTTTCAAAATCTCCTCACTGGCTTGTTCGTTAAGTCTGTCTATTTCATTCTGTACCTCATCAATATGTTCAATTGCTTCCTGGTGTTCTTTTTCTTCCTTCGAGGGGGGGGTGGGTGGGAGGGAGCGGGGTCCCCTTAACCTTAGGGTTCTTCATTTGCGGCAGGCTCGAAGGGGCATTTAGGGGCCATGCTGCTTGCTGTCTGCCCGCAAAGTCCGAGAAATGCACGAAAGAGCTGCTTGCTTCTGGTGGAAAGCGCCTCGCTACCCTTCGTTTCAGTGAAGATTGGGATGTGCCTTCTTTCTGCAGTGGCACACATAGCCATTGAGGAAAGGTTTCTCATGAAAATTCATCATGTCTTTGATTTTTTAAAACTCGGAAACCACCAAAAATAATGTTAGCTCCTTAACTATTTCTATCATGTACATATAATTTTTTCACTTAATGCTTTTGTAATAGATACCATATATACTCAGTATAAGCCGACCTGAATATCAGCCGAGGCACCTAATTTTACCACAAAAACTGCATTAAAATGTGCTGAAAAACTCGGCTTATATATGAGTGTCTGTGTGTGTAGAGCTAATGATTCTAGGATAACCCTGTTTTCAGTTAAATTCTTAGGTCAGCATGACAGATGTTCTAGAATTGCAGTTGCAGGTATTCCAAGGTCAAGTGGAGACCAAGTTTGGACGTTTGTATTGTTGATTTCAGTGGGAACTGTTCTCCCAGTTAGGTTTTCAGAGAATGAGGATTTGGAAACCCCAAACCCACTATGACTGTGTTGATTCTAACTTAGAGTGACCCTATAGGGCACAGCAGACCTCCACTGGGATTCTCAAGCTGGAAATCCTTACAGGAGCAGATGCCTCCCTTTCTCAAGGAGCACCACGGACTTTGTGGTTAGCTGCCTCACAGCACCGCCAGAGCTCCTTCCTTGGAGGCTCACCAAACCAAATCCACGGCCATCACATTGCTTCTGACTCAGCACTGCGTTATACGGTTTCTGAAACTAGATATTTACCGGGACAGCCTCATCGCTCTCTTTCAGAGTGGCTGGTGGTTACAAGCAGGCCTGTATTTATCCCACACTGGAAAGGATGAGGTTTTCTCCTGCCGTAAAGAGCCTCAGAAACCCACAAGGGCAGTTCTGCTCCGCCTCAAAGGTTGGCCATGAGTCAGAGAGGACTCGATAGCACTGAGATTTTCAGTCTACTTATCCCACTGTGCCACCAGAGCCCTGGATGCTGCCTAACGGAATTCTTTCTGCGGACAGAATACCATATAGCCAAATACCAGAGTCCAGTTAGACCCAGGATTCGGATGCTGCATTCAAGGGGTGGAACAGTCACCATGAAGCAGCCCAGGGTAAGAAGGTGAAATGTTCCCTGGAAAGTGGGACACTCCAGCCTGGAGCCAGCTCGGTTGCTAGGGAACTCTCAGAGTTAGGAAGGCTGGTGCTTGCAGCAGTTCGGATGCCTTTTGGTAAGGAGAGGAACTGCCTTTGGCGTCCTTGGCTCATAAAGTTAGACAATTCCGTACAGCAGAAGCCTATGGCTCAGGGTCATTGTCCGTTACTGGAGGCATAATGATAAAATTACACCTCCAGGGAGTGGTTACGGTATCTTCAGCCGAGATCCGGCAGAAGGATTCCTTTAAATGTCTTTAAAAATATATTCTCTACCCATCTTAATTGCTAAATAATGTTTTGATGACTCACAAGAGCTTATTTTAAGACCTGTACTAGTTTCATCTGAACTTCAGAACATAAGGTTGGGTCTTTGAAGTCCAGCTCCAGACTTTAGTAATTTGTTTAATGTAATTGACTTGACAAAATGATAGCCCAATTGGGACTCATTCTAAACAGTAGTCTTTGATCTGAAAAGTGTCTCATATTTTTTCACTCTGTTAACAACATAAACCTTTCTCTATAAGAAAGGCCTTTCGGAGTACGATCCTTTAATCTTGTGGGCCATGTAAGACGTTTACCATGATCCTGTCTTTGATGTTTGGTAATAAGGACTGAACTTAAGAGAGGCTCTCACTTGCAGGCAATGAGTCTTGAAGCTATAAATCTGAGGACTTCCCGAAAGAGAATAGTTATCTGACCAACTGAACCCATTGAAAAAGACTCCATTTCTCAATCTCAGAATACTTGGAAACGCCACACTGCGTCTGCTCCCCATGTTCCCACTGTTTCTCCATTCAATACAATGCACCCCCTTCAAAGCAACTCCCCACTGCCATAGAGTCAAGTCTGACTCATTAACCTCTAAGACAGAGTAAAACCGCCTTTTTTGGATTTCCAAGGCTGTACATCTTTACAGGAGCAGAAAACCTCATCTTTTTCCTTCAGAGAAACTAGTGGGTTTGAACTGCTGACCTGGCAGTGAGCTACCCAATACAGGGCTCTTCTATGTAATACAATACATAGAAGAAGAATCCACTTTGACCTCATTTGGATGGACATCCTTATCTTCCAGAGTTGGACAATATGATAAAAATGATTGGTCTGAGAATGGGTTCGAGGTCTTCCTCTCTCACAGGAATAGCAACCAGCAGTGAACTTGACTCCAGTGTCCGCAGTGAAATGCGCAGCCAGGGAAGCTGGCCAGATGTTACTGTATTGTGTTTTTAGACACATTTGTGCACATATTAAATACACAGGAATATTTACATTAAATAAATTACTTCTCACCATTTGGAGCAGCACAAAGTGCCTTAAATGGCCACTCAGAAGTATAAAGAGAATAACTGATGTAATGACTTACTGGGGTTATGGGCAGGAGGAGTTTGGAGGGAAATCGCGGGCAGCAAATAATGAATGCATGAGCAGGGAGG